ATAACGAGCTGGCATGTTTTGTCTGCTAATCCCAGCAATTACCTAGAAGCTTCTTTAGAGGTCCTGATCATGTATAGTAGATCATACATCAAGAAACCTTGTATATAAGGAACTCATTCTCGTTCTCTTTAAAAAAAAGTAAAGAAACATAAAGATATTTTTTCTCCCTTTACAGTATTGTTTCCCTGTTAAGATATTTAATGATCCTTACTTGTGTTCTGAGTCTTTAAATTTAAGATGGTATCAGAGCAGGTCTAAATCTGCTCTGAGTTTCGCTGTAGTTTTTTTTTTCCCTTTTTTTAATTCACTCTTATTCGAAATATTAAATCTTTTATAAATCCAAACCTAGGAAAATAATCTCTATCCTTGTATGAAGAAAGGTCATGGAGGAAGCAATCCAAAGGAGACTGGTAATGGATGAAGCCACATGCATTAAATTAGATGAATTAACTGAAGAGCAACTGCATGTTCATGGCTCAGAAAATCCAGGTACCCGTACTCCTCTTGTTTAGCCAGGGGCATATTTAGGGTGGGGCCCCGGTGACCCCCACCCTAAATCAATAGGATTATTTATATAAATTTAGTCATAATTAATTTTTTAATACTTAATTTTGAAATCTTTATATAATTTGTTCCTTTTTTTTTTTAACTTCCTACAATTTTTTGGGCCAATCAAAATAGTCCAAAATCCAAATCCAAAATGGAGTTAAATTAGTTTAAGTCAAAATCATTTTTCAATCATATAAAATTTTGATGCTTTTGCAAATAAGGAATGGCAACTTCATTTTTCACAAGCCAGTGTGATAAATTTGCCGATAACAATTTCTGATCATGGTCCAGTAATTTTCAATCTGTATGCCAGCTCTTATGTAGGACAGAAAACCACTTCGTTTTGAAAGGTTTTGGGCCAACACCGATGTGGCGGGGGACATCATTAGAAAAGTTTGGACACAACAGGCAGAGGAAAATTTCATTTTTATTTGTCAAGTTGGAGATCAGTCTCAGGCATCTTACCAATTGGAGCTCTTCTTCTTTTGGCGCTTTGGACTAGAAATTGAAGGTAGTTGAGAAAATTAGCAACTCTGCAACAACATGATGGACTCCAAACAAATGAGGTGCATATTAAAAATTTAAAGAATCCACTAGAAATGTTGTTAGAACATCAACCTGATTATTGAAGAAGCGAGCAAAGGTTAAATGGAATAGAAGCACTAATTATTTTCACAGATGGGCTACAAGGAGGAAGTGCAGAAACTGGATTGACGAGTCCAAATAGTACGGCCTGCGACTAGGCCGGTCCAAGTTCGGTGAAAGGTCTAACCGACCTCTGGAAGTTTCTAGGTTGGTTCTTAAATACTTTCCTATCAAGAAAGGGTTTCATAACCTAACTCTATAAATAGGGATCAACCCCTCACATCAAAGGTATGCTCTACGCACCACAGTCCATACCCCTATTACAATTAGTCTTACTGACTTAAGTATCGGAGTGTCTACTCTAGGGAGACCCTGAGGCCCTATTTTGCAGGTTTTAGGGTTTTGATAATGCCATGACCACCGATTCAATCAATTGGAGACGTCGGTGCGGATTCATACTTCGTCAAATGGCACGCCCGGTGGGACCCTAGGGTTTCCCTTCAAAAAAATTTTCTGGGGAAGGTGTGAGGACAAAGCGTACATCTCCTTCGAATTGCCTCAAAATTTCCGTCGGCGAAAACTGGGTCAGATTACTCCATCCCTGATTTAGTTATTATTATTATCTCAATTGGATGCCCTAGCTAATACCTACGCACTAGTATTGGTTTGGATTTGTGTCTATGCTATGCTAATTAAAAATTATTTAACGATCATGGAAAATATGTGCTACTTGTTTTGGATGACTTACGTACAAAGAGGCTACAGTCGGGCAAGCCTTGCATGGCTATTAAATGTTTTCGATTATTCTATCAAGGGTAAAATTTTGGTGCTGATTAGCTATTTTAGAGTTAGCAATTAAATTCATTAAAGACACAAGAACGAAATTCCTCAGAATTCATAAAGTGGTTGAGGATCAGGCTATCCAATTTTATTAGACATACACTCCACATTATTATTACATAATATTCGGTTGAAGTTCATTAACCAAATCTGGTTTCAAGTTTCAATTACTACTAGTTTCGATATAATCAGTTTTACAACCTGCTTGATATTGATCTCGGGGGAGATACGACAAGAAGGGTTCAGGTTTGATTTCATAGCCTTTAGTATTCCGTCAAAACAATATAAATGTATATTTCCTACCTTCATGTTCCTCGAAGGTCTCCATGTTGATTTGGCTAAAAGATTCATTAGTCAGATTCGTTCGGCTGATCAAATCTGACATCATGTTGATGCATCCTCGCTCGTTACTTTGCTTTGTGGCCAAGAATCATATTTTATGATGATGAAACATGCACAGAACTTTGATCAAAGGTCTAATCTTGGTTAACTATGTTAGTATACATCAATTAGTCTACTGATAACGTGGGAACAGAAATTCTCCAGGGGTAGGATAGCCCATTTAATCATACTTATATATCTTTATTGATTGAAAATATTCTTGGTGTCGTAATGTCTGGTCTTTTAAGCTAAAATTCAAAATCATTGTTTTGAAAATTCTCACTAGCGCCATGTACGGCCTGAGACTTGGAATAGATATATACATATTTCACCTATTGACATAGATTTCTGAATTTTATATATGGGCGTAATTGTTTTATTCTCATCAGACATGATTTTTTACAATAAGTCTTTTGAGTTTCATGGTTGACTAAGGAAATTGTTGTCCATCAAGTTTGGAGAAACTTCACAACATCCTTAAACCAAATAAAACTGAGATGCAAATAAGCCAACAAAGGCTATGTAGTCTTCAGTTACATCAAAAATCCAAGCAGCCCCAGCCGCTCGACAAGGATTCTAAATTTTCACAAAGTTGTAGAACGGCCCCTAATGATTTTATTATTTATACTCTGATGCTAACTCTTCTGATCACGCAGCATGGTCCCTGGACTGTCAAAGAACATACTTGGACAAAATTCTCTTTAACTAAGTAGAATTTCTGATTCAGCCCCTTTGGATATTATTAACCATTCTTGCCTCTAATGGTTTCATTGTTTTTCATACAAGTCCTAACTTTACAGCAAGGGGCGACCTGATATTTCAAAAGTCATATCTCCTCGAAGAGGCGCACAGCTTCCTCGGGACTTGAGTACAAGGCTACTCGTTTGTTTCCGGCAACACAAGCCGAAATATCTTTTTCTACATAATTGCACGAGGCAGAGGCTTTAACGACAGCCAACTTTTTGTCAAAAGTGAATAGCTATGCCCACATAGCTCGATTTTTCGAGGGACCGAGGGCATATACAGACGTGATCACACAAATCGTCCCTGTGACAAGAGTGGAGACAATCCCCTCGACTGATTTGGAAAGAGATAAGTAGCCCTAAACTTAATTCTGCCATGTTATCATATTTCTAACCAGATTTCTATACGTATGCAATCTTGATTATGCTCTCGAGATACATACTAGACATATGTGCCTCCTTCGAGGAGATCTAACGAAATATGCAGCTACGATAACTTGTCCGAACCTGGCGCAGTTATACTATTTGGTTTTGCAGGTCTTACAATTCGAGTAGCAATCTTCTCGAACTACGAAGCGACTCATCCCAAGAGGCAATGATCTGCTCGAACAACTCAGATAAGTGTTAAGTTTGTTCCAACTTTTCACTATGGGAAATTTCACTTCCATCCCAAGACTCATACATTAAGCATTTTATCTGAAAATTCTCTCAATGATATATCCTTCGATGTATTCATGAGAACTATATGCAACTTGAATGACAACGTTCTTTGATATGCCACATGACTTGTACATACAACACTAATTGTCAATTACATGCTCCCCAGATACTAGAGCCTTTCAGATAAACAGTAAATGTTTGAAAATATCGCACATGCATATTTTTGTGTCATCCCCTGATCCACTCAGTCGATTCATCGAGGCTGAGATGGACTCATAATCAAAGACCAAGTTTCACTGAGTTAATCGTTAACCTATTCTCCATAAGAAACACCTTAGGGATCAACACTTTGAAAGACCAGAATGGTTGTTGGCAATATAATCAAGTCTTCAAATCCTAATGTTGGATCATTTCAAATCAATCTTCATGGAAGATGGGTCGGGAATCTCAGAAGATGACAATTAAAGTGCAAGGTCAGTTTGCAGTTTAATACTAAACCAAATTCTTGATGCACAATGACAAAACCTTGAAAGACCATTTACAAGTGATGAAATTTAGTCAGCCATAAAACACATGGCTCCATGGAAGTAACCGGTCCAATGGTATCCAAGTAGGTTTTTAAAATAAGGACCACAGTTCTGGATAGCATACTTGGGATCCTAAATCAGGGGAAGTGGTATGAAGATTGGAACCAACCTAGAGTTTTCATCCCAAAGAGGAAAAATCCAGTCACCAACTGATTAGCGTCCCAGAAGTTTATGCAACATCAAGTATAAATTTGTTGGAAAAAGTTGGGCAAACAGAATCAAGGAATTCCTGGGAGGTCTAATCTCAGAGAACCAACATGGTTTTGTCTTAGGACGGTATATTGGAGAAAATATTTTATTAGCTCATGAAGCGATTGAACATATTTGGCTCAAAAAAGATGGTAAAGTGAAAACAGTTGGACATGAACAAGACCTATGACAGAATCGAATGGCTCTTCCTTCACATGGCCTTAGACAGAATGGGATTTTTACCAAGTTTTGTTCGATTAATCATGAGATATGTCACCACCGTATCTTATTCAATCAGTTTTAGTGGCTCGCAATCATCAGTTTTTGAACCAAAGCAAGGGCTTCATCAGGATTATACCATAAACCACGTCGTCAGAGTTTCTTATATACATAGCTTGTTTATCTTAGTAGTACGATATTTTCACTATTTGCATTAACTAAAGAAATGCAGTGTGGCTGAAAAAGGGACTCACTGAACTTGAGATTATTATATTAAGATTATTATATTAACAAATCAAGCTGACATTTGTTGCATCACTAAGAAAGGGTTGTGTTGTAGAGTCAGTGAGAAAAAACAAAATTAGAAGCCGAAATATGGTCAATAATGCAGAGCAACCCATCATAAGCACTCAATATAGATTACCTGCAACAATCATCTATTTGTCTAAATAAGCACACTGGAACGTAGTGATATATATACATAATAAAGCAGACAAAAGAGAATGCTATTTTCATAGAACGACCTCTGATCAAAACTAAAACAACCTTTATTTAACACTAGTGCTCTTCATCTAATTCCTGTTTTCTCAACTGCGATCTGTTAGTTTGGACACTACTTTCATATCCACTGCTGTCTCCTGAATCAATCATGCGTTTCTCCATTATCCTCTCTTTCAACCTGTCATGGTATGGACGTGCAGGTTCTCTTCCAACAGTCCTTCGTTCCTGAAGTTAATTTCCCACAAAGTTAAGACAAATAGGCCGGATAAGCGATGTGTCGACATCAACGTACCAAGTGTACTCTATTAGCCACTGGCAACATATTTAAAGGTCCAGAACATTAATCAGTTCTACAACACAATCTCTTTAGAAACTACTAATTTACTGATCATCACAATCTCTTTAGAAACTACTAATTTACTGATCATCAAAACTCTCGAATCTACCAAGCTTGTCTCCGCTTAATCATGAATGGCAAAGTTTTCATATGGAATGTGCCAGACTAGCCACAATCAAAACTCGATACATGAGAACCTACACACATAAATCTCAGCACAAACATTATTTCTTTTTGATCAGTAACACATTTCCCACTATGAAAAGAAAATAATTGGCTAACATAGGTCGAGATTGGTCGTGTCGCACAAGGAGAGCAAATGTTTTCTCTAGGTGCCATGAATTAGTGTTGTGGGAAGAGAAAGCAAACTTACATCTCGAAATGGGAAATCATCAGCCTCCAACATGTGTATCACATGCCCCATCTTTGGCCTCTTCTGAGCATTTGGGTCAACACAGCGTAAAGCTACCAAAAGAGCACGCTTCAGGGCTCTTGAAGAAGGCTGCTCTGGCAATTTAGGATCCAATACTCCTTCTGCATTGCGGTTAGAGACCATTGTTTTGAGCCAATCAACCAGATTCACCTGAGAGGTATACGACCAAAACCAAGACTTGAGAAGGGAAAAAAATTTCTTCAAAAATTATAGCATTGTCCTACAAAATCAACCATCAAGAATATACATTCAGGTACAAACCTCCCCTGGAGGCCGACTGTAGTCAACTGGGTTTCTTCCTGTTATTATCTCCATAAGAAGGATACCAAAACTGTAAACATCACTCCTCTCGTTTAGCATGCCAGTACTAGCATATTCTGGAGCAACATAACTACATGACAGAACGACAAATTTGAGATTCATTTTGTATCTTCAGATAAGAATTAAGATAAAAACTAAAATTATAATAATATACCAAGTACTAACCCAAAAGTTCCCATAACACGCGTTGTGATGTAGCTCCTCTCTGAGCCTAAAAGCTTTGCTAACCCAAAGTCTGATACTTTTGAATTCCATTGCTTATCAAGCAGAATGTTGCTTGACTTAATATCACGGTGGACAACTTTAGGTTCAAGTCCTTCATGCAGATAGGTCAGCCTGTAAGTTCCAGTTAATTAGCAAGGCTATAAAAATTTAAGAGAATGACATAAAATAATTAACAAAAAGATCAATGAAGAATACCCTTTAGCTGCTCCAACTATAATGTTCATGCGAATATCCCATGTAAGGGGGCTGCGAGGCCCAACATCTCCATGAAGCCACTGTTCCAAGTTCCCGTTGTCTACATAATCATACACCAGCATTCTGAAACCCCATTGAATTGCATATCATGTCATTCAACCAAAGACAGAGAAATGGCAAATCCACAGAGCTCAATTCATAAGGAGCTAATAATTTTTCACGTATTCAGTTGGTAATTAATAAGAAGCTTATTGTCCCTTCGGGGACATCCGATAAGAAGCTATTAACCCAAAACATGAAAACTCCGTCTGAAATGTTTCAAAGCTGAAACAAGATTAAATTCGTAATAAGTTTACTAACACTTGGGATAAAATTACCTATGAGCTCCTTCAGCACAGTAACCAAGCAACCTAACCAAATTCTTGTGCCGAACACGCCCAATTGCTTCAACTTCAACTTTGAATTCCCTCTCAGCTTGTCCTCTGGAACCAATGTGAATGTATAAATCCAAAGATCAACCAGCAAAGAAGAATAACGAATCACACACTAGAGAACAAAAATCAATCAAGAATCACAGTAGAGATAGCTTCAGCGTTGAATTAATTACTAAACAGTAAAATCTGCAAATAGCCCTGTCAAATATATGTTGAATCAAGCAACTAACACAGAAGAACTCAATAACCATTTTCATGGCCTTTTACCCCACTAGGACAAGACAATAAACAGTTGAAGTAGGCCAATAAGGAAATAATAGAGAATGCATATGCAGGATTCACATGCATTGCTATAAAGCTAAAACCAGGGAATAAGCACACACACACACACACAAAAGTAAGAAACTTAACAAGAACACAGGATACCTATTATTAAGCAAATTCTTGACAGCAACTTTAGTACCATCCTCCAAAATCCCTTTGTATACAATCCCATATCCACCTTCCCCAATCACATTTTCGTCTGCAAACCCGTCAGTAGAAACCTCTAACTCCCTCAAAGTATACCAATGGCCCCACCCCAAATGAGAAACCTCCGGCACGGTTATGATAGCTTGATCACCCGGGCGGGCCTCCCCACTACCATGACCCGAACCTCCACTTCCCGACCCGGGCTTCTCTGGATACGCAATCCGGTGTCCCTTCCCAATTTCCACATGAATTCTCTGATGACCATTCCCGTTCTCAGTTTCTAAGTGATCGGATTCCGGCAATGGGTCAGGAACCGGAGCAGGCAGGAGGAGGATTTTCGGGTCCTGTTCCGGCACAGGCCTACTTGGGTCGACCCAAATTTCTTGAATTTCTTTAGAAACGTTAGGAATGGTGGGATTTTTCTGAGACGCAAGCCTGGACTTCTTGCTGTGACGTCTGGAAGTAAACCATAAGGAAATAATGAACAAAAACAGCACAATTGCAGCACCAACGCATATTCCAACCACAACCCACAACCGTAAACCAAAAATTGAGGTCCTTTTAGAAAGCTCATCGTTTAAAGATGCATTCTTGCTGCTGGTTCTACTGTTACCAGACATCCCTGCTTCTCCTCTTCCTCTGTTTTTCTTCTAAAAACGAAACAGTGAATCAGCACATGAATAATAATGGCTTTGAATTATGAATAAACAAATGTAATGGGATTGTTTGTATGTGTTGAAGAAAGGGGAGGGGAGGAATGAATTGATGATGATGATGATGATGGAAGTGGGGACTGGAGAGTGTTTCGTTAGTCTCTCTTGAGAGACAAAGAAGAATAGAGAAAGGAAGAGAAAAGGGGGCAGCTGTAATGATGGGACTTCTGGAATGAATTAAAGAAAATGGAAAAAAGCCCACTTGTTTTTTCCTTCAGTTTAAGTTGTTGAATATCCTTTTATTTTAATTTACATTTTTTGTAGATTTTGTGTCGGAAAAGATTCATTCTTGTGCGTGGTAAATTATATATAAAACAGTTGAAAGTTGAAAGCTGATGCCTAATACAGATAGTAATACTTTAATAGGAGAGGTTTTTGGGTTCTTGTGATCATTTTTTGGCTGGATTCGTGTGTTAGGTTTTGTGAATAATCTAATCAAAAGAATTTGTGAGTTGGTGAAATCAGCACTGTAGCAGGCGTTTTTGCCTTTTCTTTTTTGTTTGATTCCAGTTCATTTCTGAGTTATCTTCAGTTCTGCCCCCAGTTTGTAGTGTAATAATTGTTAGAAAAGACGAACTAAAGGAAGCAGACAAGATTCACAAATTTCACATCATCACACTACATTCCATATACCTATCTATACTCATAAAACAAGTGAACTTTTGTTTGCATTTTGAAATAAGCACAAACCAAAATGGTCAAATTACAAGTAAGAAAGGTGCGTTTTTAATGGTTTGATTGATGAGACGACGAGAAGAGGAGATTGATGGAGATTAGAGTTTTTTGCCTTTTTGGTTGGGGGGAATAATGTCAAAAAAACTACAATTAAATTAGATTTTGGAACTTTAGATTGAAGTGTTTTTAAGTATGAACAAAACATCTTCATGTGGTTGCACCAGATTGTCCAAAGTCTACTGTTGTGAAACGTCATATCTCTATGATCATGATAGCTTGGTTAAAAGCTTCTTTTGGCGATTGACATTATAGCAAGTATCCGCTTCCAATCGCATTTCGACAATATTTCCTCATTCTGAGTTACATGTGGTACTCGAATTGTATATTCATTCCGTCTCATTTCAATAATTTCATTTGTAAAACTAAAAATAACTATAACTGGAATAATATAATAAGACGAAAAGAGTTATTATTCATTCTGTTAAACACTATTATAACTTACATGATAGAGAGATAATTCGAGCTAATAATTACATTGAGACGAGAGAGTACTCTAATTAGTTGAGGGTTAAAAAGTCTTCATCCAAATACACCTGGTCTCAGTTTACCGGCAGAAATGCAGCCACTGTCTTCCTAACCAGTCTTTTTCCTCCTCTTTTTTTTTTTTTCCTTCTTTTTTGTGTTCTTTGAGAGAAAAGAAAAACTTTGACAGAGTGGACTTTTTGCGTCCTTATTCTGAGTGGGAGCATGGATACGTTGAGTGGCCGTTTGGCTCACTTTCTTTCTAAATTAGTAGACCCCGTTGAAACAGAAAAAAAAAAAAAAAAAAAAGGCACATGATGACGACTTTTCCTCAATCTAAATTTATAATAAAGACGTGTTTTTTTTTTTGTTCTTTTTCATGATTTACATTTTCTCCCGGTCCTAGTTAAACTTAAAAAATGCTTTTGAGTTTATGTATCCTTTAAAGTTGAATAAAGGGTACAAAAAAAAATGACACTAATCAACGATGCAATGTAATGTTTTCTGGATTTATGTGTCTCAAACTCAATCGGGTTTTGAGTTAATGACATGTTTGGGAATGTGTTTTGACGTTTCATCCGAGGAAATTGACTAGAGAAAGAGTATGAATTGTGAAAATTACATGATTGAAAGAGGAAAGTGTTACTAAAAGGAAAAGGCAAAGAAGATTTACAAAGCAAAAAATAAGCAACGATGCATGAATCATGATGAAGCCAATATATACATCAAGTTTCATGATCACAATATTGCATCAAGCTATCTATGATTTATAGGTTTTTGCTTTCATGGAAAAGGCGCTACTCCCTCCTTCATAAAAAAATATTTGTATCACACAAACGTTATTTTTATTTTATCAGCATGAAAGTTCTTTGAATCGATCGGTCACAGCCGCCTGCCATTTACTTAGTGGGGAGGACCATCTTGTATCTAACCTAACGCATTTCCGCAATGTCCTAATCCAATGGGACATTCACTGCATTTATGTAGAATGGATCATGCGTCACTAATGTTCACTTAGCCATTTCAGATAACTTTGAAAGCCTCGAACTTGTTTCGTGCAAGTTATTCCTAGCTTCGCAGGAACTCGAGGAAAACTGAAAGTCATACGTATGAGAATTGAAAAATAAAAATGCATTGCTGTCAAAAGGTAAGAAAACCACAAATCTCGCATACTAAGAAGTGAAGGGACGTAAAGTAGTTCATCAAATTACCACACATCATTTTAGATGGTGAACTCACCCACGAAGAACTTCCTGTGTTGTAATTCTCAAATGCAATCTCGAAGCTCAATGTTTTAAACTCGAGATAAGAAAGGGAGGGTCACATTAGATTAACCGTTCTTAATGTCAAAAAAAAAAAAAAAAAGAATCGTTCTCATTTTTCTTAAAAGTATAACCTAAATAATATGCTTGTCCCGACATAGACTCAGGAAGTTATTTCGTTATTGTTAGATTTAATCTCAATTTTTGAGTCCAGCCAACTGATTAAAATTAGCAGATTTGATCTCAATGACCTTCATATTATGACTTATAATTCGTGTCGATGTAATAGTATAGGTACTTTTAACTGAATACAAACACCTTTTCAGAAAAAAAAAAAAAAACTGAATAGTTATTCCCGGATGAATTTCATGTATCTGATTTAGTCTTATACGTAGTTCATATTGTATATTTTAGGACGTGGATTACATCACCTTAGCTTTTTAGGGAAAGCCCTTTGGACCCAACTCTGTCAAACCTTTTCTGGTACCACCAAATCTTGTTCAACCCAGGCCCACTTAAATTTTCCTTTACAGTTATCACCAGAATAGAAATAAGGTTGCTCTAGCCACTACTCCTGCTATAACAACAACGATAGTATCATCTATGAAATGATTGTCAATCCACATTAAAAAGTACATCTCCTTAAATTGGAAATGAATCACATTCTAATTAGTCTGAGAATCACCACATAGGTTTGGCAAAAGCAATCAAACTGTGAAACTTCAAATGAGATTCAATAGCTTGAAAATCTAAATACAGATAAGACTGTGAAGACAGGAAAATTTTGCCAATTACATAGAGAAGAACAAGTATCAAAAGGGAAAACAGAACCAGATTTATGTTAAGGTTTCTTTCGGCTGAATTAGCTTTATGAATGATCAGAGTCAGTATTTTCAGCATCCTACGATGTTCGAACAATTGGAATTTCCTATGACTGCCACCAGTATGATGTACAACATGGGCCGCGGATAGATCAGTCAATCCTGTAGCTATGAAGACACGTCTGATGACGAGTTGTTGCCCGAGCAGCTTATATCTAAAGGTAACTGCATTAGTGTATCCTCCTGGAAAATATCCTAAAGAATGAAGAGTCGAAAGGGGTCAATTTCCAACTAAGTCGCAGTAAAGGTTACTGTAATTCATATACAAGTTACCTTTGCAGCTGTTAATTGATGGAGAATTCCATAGTTATTCTGCATTGGTGATTCCAATCCAAACTGAAAGGCTGAGTTATTATTTGTCATTGGAGGCGCAGCAAGTTGTTGTGATGATATCTTGGGATTGGAGAACCCCAAAACTGTTTGCATCACAGCATCCTGGTTGCTAGATGATGTATCTGCTCCTCGGCTAGCATTTGGCATATTCTCCTGATTAAAGTCCACAGGGAGGTGCACAGATGGGAGTGACCCTGGTAAATAATGTGGATGCAAACCAAGTCCATTTCTCATCGTCAACATCTGCAAAGTGTGATGAGTAAATAATCAGGTATAAAGAAGGACCTGAAACTGCATCTTACAAGTTGTTTTTGGCAAAGAAGGAAATCTACGAAGCATTCTCATTGTATTGCTAAATTACATGCCTTTTTACATTAGAGCTTATAAACTAGAGCTGAAAGATTATGGGCAGATAGCTAAAAGGTAAAAATACAAAGATACTAAATACAAAAGCTTATGAAATGCTTCACAAGATAACATCCTCAAGGAAATCAAATGCCTGTGAAGAACCTGCAACAAAATTCCGTTACTTCAGACCAGAGATGTCCAGGATTTAGGGCCCAAAGAAATGCAAGGATCTCCTCAAATGTTTAGGCCTTGATCAAATCTAACTTATACATGCCAGCCTATCATTAACAGCTGCGAAAAGCAAGCACCCTTCACTTGAATAACTACATTATTTTCACATCAAAGAATCAAATTTACGGGAATATCTTTGGAATTCCATTCCGACCAACTGTTCTGCATGTCAAGTTCAGGTGCCCACCATCATCAATTATGACTAAGAAAGGACCCAAAATATGACTTTATATATAAACCATCTAATTACAACTATGTCTAAGAAAGGCTGCATGATTTGCACCAATCACAGGCCTCACTAATACCCAAAATGCTTTCATCAGTTTGTGATATTATTTGCTTAATATGAGAGTTGACAGAAACCGCAATACTAAGCAGATGTTAAGAAGGTAACCTTTTCTATATCTTTTATTCAACAGCTCAAAATTCAGACCCAGGTAAGCATCAGAATCCTCTAATGGCACCAAACATAGAACAAACAATAACCTTTCTCAATTATATCAGCTTGCCCATAAATATATCCTTATCACGATAACACCAGAAAAATCAAAGCATTGTCAGTCGCTACAATGATCACACATAATCCATGAGAATAAGTTAAGTTTCAACCCATGAGCTGGAGGGACAAAAATTACAACCTGAACTTGCAGTTGCAGCTGTTTAAGGTACTCAATGGCTTCATCCAGCATTGATGCTTTGTCTGTCTGTACAAAAGATGATGAACGAATTTTCAAGCTGAGGCTACAATTCACATGCAACTACAAAGTCTAGCAGAAAAAACCCCAGTTGAAAGGGAAAAGAATGTAATGCATACTTTATTGGAATTAGGAATCAGGTTCTGCAACGCCTTCAACTTCTCGTTAATTCTGCTCCTCCTCCTCTGCAAGAATGAAGTAATTAGTCAGAAATGGTTAAAGGGATTGCCAAAAGTTTTCAAAATTTGAATTGAGAACACAACCTTTTCGGACAAATTATGCACTTCTGCTGATCTACTCCTCTTCGACGAACGCTGATGGGACTGGTTCCCTGCTGTATCTGAACCCTCCGATCCCTACAAGTTAAAACATCAACATCAAAGACCACAAACAATTGGGAAGACATCACAGAGAAAAAGAATTCAGCAAAAGGGAAAAGAATCAGCTGTCCAGCTATCGAGCAAAGAATCAAGCAAACCGTATTTAAGCACAGAACCAATCAAAATCGAATCTTTAACAATTCTGGGCCGGAAGTGAAAATTTATTCCAATGCAAACAGCAAAATTCGGTTCAAGTTCTCAAGTAAAACCCATATAACCAAATCTATTTTACTAAACGAACTTCTATATGGGTTACAAATATTACCAATTTCAGATTGAAGAAAACTAAAAATGGAAAGTGAAACAAAGTCTAAAGAAAGTGTTCAGCTCGAACCTTATTAGCATTAGAGAATTCTCCTCTGTTCATAGAAGAAGTAACAGCGTCACAGTCTCCAACACCAGCTAAAGGAAACGTCTTCTCAACCTTATCCCTCGCGAAGAACCCACCGCCGGGATCGGTAAAATTGAGGCTAGGACCGGCGGAGGAATTAACCATGGAACCCGAAGCTCGGTAATTATGCGCCGCCGATCGGTTCCCGGAAGGCGCTGGCGCCGGCGCCGGCGTACTATGGAGCAGATTATGGAGAAAAAAGCTCATATCCTCCGACTCGTGCCCGGGTTCGGAGTCGGGTTCAAATGAAGAGCGATCATCAGTTCCGTACAGATCCGACATAAAAATTGAAACTTTCAATACTTCGTCAATCCGAAAAGAAGAAAAAAAAAACCCAATTTAGCAAAGTTGTTGAAGAGATGAAATAGAAGATTTATAACCCCCTTTTTCTTGTGCAGCGCCAACGTTTTTGTGTCAGAGTGTGTGTGTGTGTGTGTGTGTTTGGGAGTGAAGAGTGTGTGAGTTTTTTCTGTATTTAGTACTTCTGACGATGATGATGATGATGCTCTTTCGGCTAAAGCAGAGTTTAATTTGAAGTGTAAAGGTGAGATTAGAGGTTTATTTTTAAATTTTTTAATTCCTTTTTGATTGTTCTCCCGCCCTTAATATGTGTATAATTTGGTTTTAGGACTTTTTAGTACCTCAAGATTCCTCTTATTTTTCACATCCCCCTCTAACTCTTCGTAATACTAAACTACCCTCCCACCGTCTCATTTTAGGAGTCCAACATTAAATACGAGAAATCGTTCAATTCATATTTCGAAACTAATACAAATCTCGTAAATTCCAGTTACGAGAATGTATGGCGAAATATGTAATATGAATATAAAATGACATACGAAATGACGTAATGTTAAAAAATTGGAATTTTTCAATAGAAAATACATAATATCATTAAAAATGTGTATACAAGAATGTACATTCATTTACTCCACCTGGAAATAGGAATTACACAAAGCCCATAATTTGGGCTGATGAAGCAGTTGAGGAAAATTCAATCATGCATAATATCTTAACAACTGATTTGCAAGACCAAAATCAATATAAAAATGATCCACAAGTTTTTGACTTGGCAAATGGCCAAGTTGGTTCTTATATATATAACTAACTTTATATTCATTTATTGTTAATGCACCATTATGTGCCATGGTTTTGGATCAAATGACTCTCTCTAATATACCGTTTCAACTAGACTCTCTCTAATTTGGCAAATTCCAATCCGAAAACAACAACCCAAATGGCCAAATGAGCAAAGTCAGAAAGAGGGAAGCAGCTCTTTTGTTTTTGTTGAGAAGATTGGCATCTGCAATTGCCTTATCCAGCAGGATGCCACCTTAGCTTAAAAAAAGGAAGAAGGAGAAAAAAACCGAAATCATTTATTAGGATTGTGCCATTTCCCGAGGTGAGAAAAAAAAAAAAAAAAGTCATCCTTTTCTTTCTCTCTCTCTGACCACTGTGTGTGTGTGTGTGTCTGGTTTTTATTCAGTTTCGTGTGAAGAACTAAATGAATGCCCCAAGAAGGAAGAAAATAATAGAAGAAACAAATAAGTGTAACCCCTCTCTCTCACAGGACCTTTTTTTTTTTTTTCCTAATCTTTGAATTGAAACTTCTGGTTCTGGCATTTTACCCAACCGCTATTCCTTCTTGTTGAGTCGTCACTTCAACTTCTGTGGAAGGTAGGAGGAAAATTTTGGACCTTCTTTTTGGAGTATTTTATTAAAAAAAAATAATAATAATACATACCATATTGAAGGTGTGTAGATTAGGGAAATTGCAATTTTTCCAAGTATACATTCAAATTCTGTTTTAACGCTTTCCAAACTTCCAATGCTTCAAATGGCCTCCACTTCCAATGCTCTGAAGTCTGAACAGCTGATTCAAACTTGTGATACACCCAAACATTGTTTTGCAAGCTCAATAAGGCTAACAAATCTTGATGTTTCACACACAAAAAAAATCTTGATGTTTCACACCTACAAACCTAACTTGCCAAGAGTTTGTAATTACTTACAAATCTTGATGTTTCACAAGTACTTCCGAACTGTAGTTCGTGCAATCTTCTATTTTTGGGCTATATTCCCAACCATTAAAGATCAAACACTTCTAGGCGTTTTCCTAGGAAATTATTCTGGGGATTTCTTGCAACCTGATTCTGTTCTGTTCTTCTCTTTCAAGAACCCAAAACCTAACATTAACAAAATACTAGATAGCATGTCATCCTAGTGAAAGGAAAAAAACAACTCAAAGTAACAAGACAACACAAAGCTAAAAACCCACAAAAAGGGTCCATAAAGATTGGTAATTTGAATTTCCAATAATGAATTGAATTGCTGACTACTGAAAAGTTCGAACAAATTGTTCTGTTTATGATTGTTGAAATAATTTTATCAAGAACACGGTGCCATAAAGAAAAACTACATTCCCTGAAGTGTTCTCAAGGAGTGTTGTGATGAATGAGGAAGGCAGGCATGATCTCTCAGATACTTCCTTGGAGCCGCATACCCACCTCATTCAGATCAACCGGGAGACTGATTCCAGTGCCCGGGGTTTATATCCTATGATTTGGATAATCCTGTTGTTTTACAAATGGGGCACAAATTTTTGTGCGTAAGCCATTGTTTTATACACTCTGCATGGAAATCATGCCCGCAATCCAGTGTTCCAAGCTGATCGCCGTTGATGTACTCTTCCTGCCAACCATAAAGTTGTACAATCTTTAAGGACCAAAATATCGAAATGGAAAACTTGTTAAGTGATGGTAAACTAGTTTACCTGACATATGCAGCAAGGTTCTGTTTCGACGTCTTCTGATTTTTTGCGTGCATGCTTCCGTTGCTTCAACTGTTTCAAAATTATTTCTTCTGCCAACCCAGTATTCACATTTCCAATACGTTCTTCTAATGCCAATAATTCCTGCAAAGTCGTCAAAATTCAGGGACTTCAAAATGTCTAGCATGAGTTAAGATATAAAGCTTCCAAAATATTGCATCACTTACCTCATATGACATGTTATCGACATCTAACCGCATATCCCTATGGCGATCATGAATATCAGACATCCCAAGAAATACAGATTGGTCAAGTATCATCACGTCCTAGTGGTTAACACAAAAAAACATAACTCAAGTTAATGAAAATGGTTCATTAAGGTTCCCATTTCAAGAATATGAAGAAAACAATAATCGGACCTAATCACAAAGACCAGAAATAAATTGGGAACCTTTTCTAAATAAGCACCTTACAAATGTAAATTACAATCTTTGAATCGTAAAACACAAAAAGTGCCATCTTGTAATAAGGAAATCTAACCTCAAATCGCAAGCCTTCTCCTCTGCGCATGAGATCCAAGACATTGCGTATCTGCTTTTCAGACCAAACAAGAGAAACATTAGTAGCAATTCAACTATGGTGTTCAATAAAATCCTTCCAACATCTATAAGCAGTTTGACACGCAAGAAGTAGGCCATGTTGATGGGCATACAGATATGCAACAATAACATTTGCAAAACGCAATTTATAGCAAGAAGACAAATAATAAGAAAGAGCAACGTAAGGATGCAAAAAGTCAAAATAATATACACTAAAAACACTGGCAAGTGAAATGAAAGTTGCTATCCAAAAGAAAAACATCACTGCCATTACAATCGGTTCAAAAAGATCTTCCTGAAACTAGCCCTTTCACTAGAGTAGTATATTACATGCAAACCAAAATATGGAGATAGTAGCACAACGGGGAGAATGTTTGCATGAGCAATGATGTCATTATCCTTCAGATTGCGCCATAAACAACTGAGCAAGTCAATATTCACAAAAATGAAACAGATAGAAATGCAAAGATCATTATAAGCGAGCACATATAAGAAAATCACACGTAGATTATTCCAGTGGTTGGAGCTGAATGAAAGCTACAAATAAGATGGAGAGCAGAAAATGTGCATGTAATTTCAGAAGTCAACTACACACGGGAAAATACAGTCATGGAATCGGATTCAACAAATATCCATAAATTCGAGGGTGAAAAGGATCGAACATGAATCAGATTTAACTTTAACACTCGGAAACTGCAATCAAATGCACTATCCAGCTGAAAAGAAAGGGAAAGATGGAAAAGTTGAACAGAAAATAGAAGCAACAGATCCCTATTTAGCAGGAATCATTTCCTTAATATAAATTGAACAAGACATACCTCAGACATTAGCCTGCTTCTTCCTTCAGGGGCACCACCCAGAGTTCTTAATGAATAGGGAACCCCTAAAGCACCCTCAAGATGTCTCTCCAACAACATTGCCGATCTAGAACTTGGTGCATGGCGTCCATGCGTACTAGGTCCAGGCGGAAGATTTATATCTTGCGAGGATGAGGCAACTGATCTCAAAGGATAATTGCTACTCTGTCCTACAGCTTCAGTATCACCTGAAGATAGCGGAGCTGCTCTGCGAACATATTCTGACAGTCTCCTCGGAAATTGGGTAGGATTACGATGGGGAGTCCAAGTAGGGGCAGATGAAGGAACACCTAAGCTTGGGCTCCGAGAACTAGATGCGACATTCATAGGATTATTAATGTTTCCACCTGCTAAGTTCCAGCTAGCAGGGTTCTGTGACAAGTTTCTCATATCATTTGGAGGTAGGAACATAGGATGTTCTGATATGTTCCTGGGCACACTTGCTGAAGTAGACTCCTCATATGGTGCGGCCCCAGGAATAGCAACACCTGACGAGTTAACAGGTCTTGTACCAGAAGATCCATTCCATCTTAGTGGATTACGACGAGAAGACGAAACATGCACTAAAAGAGGCTGGCCTTGAGGATTTCCGTTTTCAATTACAGGGGCTTGTCTAAGCTCCATAGAGTTATTTTGAGGAAGCATCCTAAACGAGTGTTGCACAGAAGAAATATTGGAATTGCCAATATCAGTGTCCATAGATACCGAATTACTCCGGACAGAATCTTGTTGATGGGATGCATTTATTCTCAATCGGAAATTCCTGCGTGAGCTCTCTGCAGTCCCTGAAACTGTTTGTGTAGTACAGTTTTCAGTGGATACTTGTCCGACACTTAATCCCAGTCTTGGATTTACAGGCTCATGTAAATTGATCCCCAGATTGCTTTCTGAAGAGGTGGCAGTATTAAAGTTGTTAGAAACGCCATGTCTAGCCGGAATAGCATGCCATAGACTACTTTCAGCATGCTGCGTGTGGTTTGAACTTCCACTTCCAGAAGATTGCCCAGCATTCCCTTCAAGTGTTTTTCTTTTACAAGATAACCTTCGACCATCTAACGAGCAACCTGGTCTACCATCAACATCCTCCGCCAGATATCCACCACTAACAGAAGTCATCCCTAAAGAACTTGAAGAGCTAGCAGAAGGCATTCGCTCCCTCACTGATCCTACAGATTTGAATGCATCAGGACGTTCCACAACTTGGCAATCATCATCTTCATCGGCAACAAAATCTGAGTTCATGTTCAGATCTCGTGGGTTGGTGTCTGAACCTGAATTTTGCACAGAGAAAGTTCCAGTTGCATTGTCACTGCTTCGGACATTAACATCACCATGATTCAATGAAAGACTACCAGAAGATCCACATTGCTGCCCATCTGAACTAATAGCAGAACCAGTACAAACATTCATAGGAGATACCCACCAACTCTCAGTTTTCTGAGCATTTTCACTCACCTCACCTTGTCTAACTCTAGAACTGCTTTCACCAAAATCCCATCCACTTAAACTCTGTGCAGGTTGGTTCACTGCGTTCAGGTATCCAACAGTTGCATCACTTGATGTTATCATATAATCGGGTGCCCTGCTTTGGGCAGTGTTTCTCATAGTATTCCAGCGAATTGGCTGGTCTAAACTACTATCACTAGAAGTTGATCCATGATCAAAGCCTAAAACCTCGGGTAAGGAACCAACAGCACTACGTTGCCCTTGCATTCGGGCTCACTGCACTCAATCAATTGCGAATTGCAGAAGATCTATACGTATCAGTTGGGCATCAGCACACCACACCCCCACCACAACTGTTCAGCTAATCTGAAATCAAAAGCAAACAAATGAACATAGTCACTGTGATAATAAAGTAAAGGGCACAAACATACAACCGCAAAAACTGATATTTTTCCACCCTGATCACCAACATGCAACAAAACAGAGCAAATGCGAATACAAAACTCATCAATGTTTCAAGAATCATTTAGTTCTAGAATGATCTTCAGATTAGAGAACCAAACACTGCATGTAAACCCGCAGAATTACAAGATTGTTACAAAACATTATAGATGAAAGCACTCCTGCGAAAATTTTATTCATGAGAACAAATGCCAACAAATAAAGAGGTTTAACTGACCCCATGAGCTATTCAACCACACTTGTCACTAGTTTGCGTAAACATAAATGGCACATCATCCTCTTTAATCCATTCAATTAAAGAAAAAAGCTTTTCAGTGCACAAGTGAACACATACTATCCACCCACCACCCAAAGAAGACCACATGAAATTCACTCAACCTAGCAACAACTCAAAGCATCAAATGTGTTCATAAAAACTTTATTCTGGCATCCCAAACTTTACACAAAAGGAAACCTGTAATGAAGCTTTACCAACCAGACAATCACATTTCACTAACACATTATTTTACAATGCAGTCACTTAGGATGCTTCTGTAGAAAGAGACCCAAAAAAGAATGAATTAAAAAAATAAACTATATCCTTATGCAGGTGTAAAGTTATTGAAAAACCCAAATGATTAGCATGAGCTCTTTTTTTGCAATATCAGAAAACTAGTGAAATCATTCTTCAAAATGCATTGGTTACAGAAGCAAAACATGTCGCATCAGCTCCGTCTCAAATCCTTCAATAAGTCAAGTACTTAATTTTACAGGTTTCCAGTAAAAGAAAGACATTTCATGAGGAAAACATGAATTCAAACAAAACCCAGAAAACAACACACGAAAAGCCAAGAGCTTTTCACAAATTTTAACAAATAAAGAACCAAAACGAAAGGGTGCTACAAAACCCAGATCAAAAATTCAACACCAATCAAAGAACAGCAAAAAAGTTTGAAAATTTACCAGCCAAGCAGCAGCAGATTGAGCTGCAGATCTAAAGTCAAGACCTGGAAAGCAAAAGAAACGTTAGAAAGCAGAAATCTTGAACCAAAACAACAATAAAAATCCCATCTACCTACCTAAATTATCAAAGATTCTTTCTTTTTTCTTCCCAAAGTAAAAACAAACAAACCATCAACACAAAATGGCCTATAAAACAACATACCTTACTGCAGCAAAAACAAGACCGAATGGAAGGAGGTATAGATGGGGAAAAAGAGAGGAAAAAAGGGGTTTGTGATGAGAAGAAGATGAGAAGATGAGAAAGAAATGGTGGGTTATGGGTGTGAAAGAGAATGGAAAGAGAGATGGGATGATATTAGCATTGGCATTAGGGGTAGAATAATGAGGGTGATTAAAGCCGACCAGACAGTAATATCTTTTAGCACTAATAACATAATATTTTCTTCCCTCTTCTCTTTTTCACACAGCTTGTTCATTCATTCATTTGTTTGTTGTTTTGATTGAGGTGAAAAATTAAAAAAAAAAAAAATTAAAGGGGCAAAAAAGAAAGTTGCAATTTACCAAAAGTCATGGAATCATTCACAATCAGTCCCCAGAAAAATGTCAAGAGGAGAAAATGGGGAGATAAGATAGATGGCCAAATGGGAAAAAAAATGCACCAAAACAAACAGAGAGAGAGTTGTCATATTCATGATGTCCATGCATTTGCATTATGCAATATATGCGTTAAAAGGCCGCTTACCAAATGGCTCTCTTTCTCATTCTTGTCTGTCTGGTGTGTTCTTTTCTTCTTCCTTTATTTTTTCTTTTCTTTTTACCTTCTTCTTTATTTTGAAATTAATTGCATTGAAATCAATGCTCTACTTTCAAGGCGCGCCGAATGGGAAAGTAGTTCAGTAGACAAAGTTGCAGTAAATTTTTCTTTAATTTTTTAATTTAATTTTTTTTACCATGAAAATAATAATAGTAAAAAAAAAAAGAACTTTCCTGTTGTGATTAGTCTTTTCTGTCGAATGCCAATATATTCAAGAAAAGCAGGCTGTCCTCTCCTCTGTGTGTGTATGTTTTTGGTTTGATATCTCATTATCACATTGTCCTCCTTTTTCTTCTTTCCTTCTGTCATTATGGTTTATTTATATTTCAAACAATTTTTTTGATAAATTTAATTTATATTTACAATGAATTTTTCTCATTTACTCATCTTTAAAACAATCTTTATTCGGTTTTTTTAAGTGGTGGAATTAACTTTACTACTGCCTTACAGCCAAAGTGAATTGAAAATTTGAATAACAGAAAGAATGAATTAGTAGTAAATGTAAGATTAAGAAAAATCTTTTAGGGGGATTTTTACCATTAAGTCCTAACCATCTAATTTTGTGTTCTATAGTTGGGAGAATTATGTAGTGTTGTAACTAGCAATAATTGTCTTTAATTGAAGCTAATACGGGAATAAGCATCTAGAAATTCAGTTGAATTATATATATATTTATATTTACGAAACGGACATTGATTGACAGAGCGCTCTTGTAAAATCTCCAAATGCAATGAAACCCAATAATTGCTGGTTTTGAACAAAATCTTAATTAAGTTTGGATGAATTTAAGGCCAAATTGGAATTCTTAATTAAGTTGAATTAATTTTGGTTGGTTGCACAATTGACGCTAAATAATGCATGAAATAATGGAAAAATGCTTCCCAACGTCCAACCATTGAGTTTCTTCATTCAAATTCTTTGAATTAGAGAAAAAAAAAATCAGGGGAAATATGAAAAATGTGGCACAAAATTGTCGAAATTTATGAAGAACACGATAAAATTTGCAAGTTCTTATCCTGCTTTTAATGTTTTTTTAAGCAAAAAAAAAAAAAAAGTGCTCTTTATCATTGCAAGATTCACATCCCTAAATTATAGTTATATTATTTGATTTTGTTTTTCAAGAATAGTGAGTAGTTCTGGACACATTCATCAATTATGGACACGTTCATGTGTCATAACAAATGTACGATAAAGATACACACATTCACGATTAAAGAATCGGTTGGATAAACATTTTAGAGGTGGTTCAGTCGAATCCTGTTAAAAGAAAATTTCTTGAAAATTCTCATTCATATATTAGAAAAATAGGGTTTTGGTCGATCCATGTGATTACTAACTTGAAAATTTGTAATAAATTTTGTAAAATTAGCTTTTTTTTTCAAAAATTTGTTTAGTTTACGAAATTAAAATCTTTATACTCCATCAAAATTGAAACCATGTGAAATATTGGGAGTGGATTTTATTTTTATTTGTTTTTCTACTGCTCCAAGGTCTAAATCAAAGCGGGGAAAAAAAAAATACTTTTGATGTAACTAATACAGCGAGAGATAAAATAAGAAAAAGGTGGCAAATGGGGGATAAAAAAAAAATTGTATGAATAGAAGGATTAATTTGGTCACAAGAAATAAATTTTTGGGGACAAGAAAGAAGGAAAGGTGGATGGATGGATAAATCATGGAGAGTATTCAAAGTGTTTAATTTTGATGGTCCAACAAAGACTCCAAAACATTTCTTCTTCTTGTATAATAAATTAATAATAATCATCTTCTTTTGCCAATTTGCCAGAAGAGCTCTTTTGAACCTTACCACACCACGCATTAACGCAAAACAAAAAATACGTGCAAATGTTGCAACATTTCAATCCCAACTATGTTAGGCCAGGTGGGCAAAAAAAATATGTGTATTGATCTTCTTTTCTTCCAAGTCTTCTTTGTTGGTTCTATAAATATATGCTTCTTTCCCTCTCACTTGTGCTTTCAAGTGGTGGAGGTGGAGTGCATGGAGCATGGTGGATGGATTGGGTTGCTTTGCTTTGCTTTCTTCTCTTTAGTCTTTGTTTATTAATATAAACTACGCCTGTAGACGTGATAAATATTGTAAATTTATCATATAAAATAACAAATATATCACATCAATTAATAAGTTATTTCACTGAATGAATTCATTGACGTCTGGATCACAACTTTTTTACAAGGTCGTGGCATAGTTTTCTGTTGTCGTTGGTTTAGGTCACAAGTCATGAAAGAGGGAAAGAGGGGGGGGGGGGAAAGACCAGCAAACAAAGCTATCATCATATAAGATATGTCTTTTGTCCAAATGGTCATTTTAACACAAAACAAACCATTGCGTAATAGCCGCTTTGACAAAAGAGAACAACACATTAACAAAAAGATAAGAAAGGGGGATTCCCATTTCCAGCCCATATATTTTAATTTGGCGGATATTTCCCCACGATGATGATGATGATGATGATGTGAAATCAGACAATTTTACAAAGGCTATAAAACTAATATTAATTAATTATAATATATACCCACAAAAATATATACCAATCTTGTTTGAAGTTTGAAGTTTGAATAAACTTGTGCACAAGTCTTTCATCACATTCACAGCCAATTTGATGTGCCGACATGTGCTCGAGTAGATCAAGTTAGGTACCTATCCCCTTTGAACTTCGTACTATTAATATATTCTTTCTTCTTCATTTTTCTAATTAGTTTCTTGGATTTTTTTTCCCCTTTAAAAGAAAACAAGTGTTTTCTGCTTTAATACTTGATTAAGGAAGCATTTGAATACCTTCATTGGCTCCCATTCCCTTGTGCAGGATTATTTTCTTCGTGCTAAACGTTTTTTCTTTTTTTTTTCTTTTTTTTTTGGCTCTGCTAAGCAATTATCAACGAGATTATAATTTGTAAATGTGTCGGGAATTTTTAACCCTCAGGAAAAACCACTAAAGAGAAATTTAATATAACAGTTAATTAAGAGGTTGAAATCCGATTTTGACTTATAAAATTAATCAATTAAACCATTGTATTTAATTTCAATCGCGAAATTAAAAGTTCAATTCTTATCACTAACATGAAAAACAGACATTGAAAAAATAAACAAAATTGATGTTTAAGGAGTAACTCCAACACATTAATATCTGCGGTGTGAAAAAATGATTTTTATATTGTTCTAAAGTCTCCATAAATCCCCCATTCAATTAATGGTAGTAGAAGAAAAGCATGTCATTTTAACCTAAATATAAGAACGTGTTTGTTTGGCCATGTCAAAACGAGCTAATTTCACTTTCGGATGAAGTAATTGACTAAAACATGTTTAGTCTTTGATCACGACCATAATTAATTGGCATTATCTCTCCATGGTATGAGATAAATTGCGGACTGATTTGTGATTACTTTATTGTTGCAACTGTGATGCATATGAGTCACATATTTTGGCATCAAGTGGGAATTTCAGCGGGTGGATTTAATTTTAAAAAGGTTACGAAAACTATCTGAAGATTCAAAAACTATTTAACAAGGATTATCAACAACAGGAGGATAGAAAATGCGAAAATATAATTTACTCCTTCTGTCCTTAATATAAAGCATTTTAATTTATTCTAAGTATCACCTAATACGTATTTTTAATTGAAATAATAAAAACTTTTAAAAAAATTTTATATTTGTTGTGTTATTTTAATTATTAGGAAAAAATTTTAAGATTTTTTTTGTCAATTAAAAATGCATATTAGGTGAAACTTAGGACAAATTGAAATACCTTATATTAAGGACCGGAGGGAGTATATCACTATGGCCATGCATGTTGTAGTAGAATTACAAGATAAATATTAAAATACTAAACAAATCGTGTTTTAACAACCTAGATTCAAATATTTAATTAGAATTATCAACGAGAAGAAGATAATAAAAATGTGAAAATTTAATCTATATTACTAACACCATGCATGATGTTGTAATACAATTACAATAGAACTTCTATAAATTAATAGTGTTGGAATCACTGAAATTTATTAATTTAGTGAATTATTAAATAATCGATATATTAATAAATTAATTATCAATTATTACAATAATTAGTTTAAAAAATTTATATGAGAAAAAAAGAACCGTCACTAGATTTCATAATTTACAGTTATCTTTACATCCGAATTAATCAAGAATTAAAACTCTCATGAATACTAAATATCCATGCATAGTTCATATCATCTCCATGAACTAAAAAACAATGATCAATAGTTCATGTTATACTATATATTTATATTTATTATTATTTTTTAGGGTACTTATTAATTTATAATATTGATGGGACCTATATATCTATAGGAGATTTTTTGAAACATCCTCGTCTTATCATTTTATCGATTTTCTTCACTTTTTGTACTGGTCCCAAGTTTGGATCGCAGAAAATTATTAATCGTTAGAATTTATTAATTTATAAATTATTAATTTACCCAAATAAATCGTGTTCTAACAACATAGACTAGAAAACGTTCGCACCTTCTTTCCAAACCAAGGACAAGAAAACAATACAGTGAACAAAGAATTGAGAATACCTTCCACTAATAGCTATAAAGAAAACAAAGGCGACATTACAAGAAGAGGCATCTATTCCAATTTCCACGGCTCATGGAGCAAGAGTTTGACTCTTTTTGTACATTCCTTGGGGTTGGTGGTGGCCTATTCAGGGCCCTAATCTTCCTACAAGTTTCTCCATTCTGAAAGGTAGGTGGTAAGGTGGCAGGAAATTTCACTTGTGAAAATTTTAGTACGTTTGTTTCGTTTTTTTAATGTATATTTTTAGGTATTTTTTGTATTAGAAATATAAAAAAATATATTAAAAATATAAAAAGATAGGCTGAGATTGGACAATTATTTTTTTAATTATTATGAAAAAAACATCCAAAAAACAAAACAAACAAACAAAAAAAAGAACAGTCTAATATAATGGCCGTGAGGATGAGGATTTTCTTGTTTTCAGGAATCAATTTTGCTTCTATGAGACAGACACATTACACTTTCATGTGTCGTAGAGCTATCCGTATTCGCCTTCTAATTTTTTTTTGTTTTAAGTTCGTCATATTTTTTCATGTCGTATCACAAATTGCATTACAAATTGATATGCAAAATGAACCCGGGAGGAATTAATGACCCACTCCATTTGCATGTGTTGGCATATGGGGGGTGGGGGAATGATGCTGAAAATTGCTTTAGGGCTATGATGGGGGTGTACTAACTTTGGGGATGTCCTCCAACATGATCAAAAACTGCAAACTGATGTATAAAACAGATCAGATTTTGGTGTCTAAGAATGGTCATAATGACCTGAAGAAAGATGACAAAAAAAACTTGGATGAATCATCAATGTCTGTCTTATAGGCAATCTAGCTCCCACCACCACTTATTATAGTAACATGTTGCTCAATGTTTCACACACAATTTGGAGAAATGTAGCATCTTTCATAAGTGTGAAAACTGCCATTTTATATCTGCCAACTTCTTTTCCCTTTTTTTTTTATTTTTTTTTTATGTTGGATCCCCACAAGGGGGTTCATGTTACTTTTTTTTCCTAGAAAAGAAGGGTTTGGAGTTGAAGTTCTGAAATGGCAGCAAGTGTTGTCATCTGCGAATTTGTGCCTAATTTAGCAGAATCTAGGTATGGATGCATTGCAGAATGAGGAAAAGAATCAGTGTCCAAAATGGTGTAGATCATGAATTGAAAGGTAAGATTGCTTGGTGGGATACTTCCTTGGATTCTGATGAAATCCTGTGCCTTTACGTTATTTGCATTTGAAGAAAGGATGAAAAAGATTTTTATTTTTTTTAAAAAAAAATAAAATAAAACTAACTTAACAAACATATTTTACCTTAATCTTCCTAAAATACCCTTAACTAAAACTTTAATTTGTTCTTGAAAGTTGTTAAACCAACATGGCTCATTAATTCCCAATTCAAAACATCTCATCTCAACTCTTTGAAAAAACAACTTTTATGTCTTTTCACTAATTCCAATACAATCAATAATACTTAGGTCTTAAGTTGGAATTAAAGGTAGATTTAGAATTTCATTAGAAAAATAAATTTTATATAAGAAGATCAACCTATTTAGTGGGACACCCTAAAATGGAAAGGTCGCCTATTGAATTGAGACCGAGGGAAGGGAGTAAAAAAGAAAAGAAAGAAACCAAGCCGATTATAACAATGCTCCGTAGGTTCATCAATAAAATCTAACAACGTTGTGTACACTTTGTCCGAAAACAAAGACAATCATTTTGTAAAGGGAAGGAGCAGTTTTATAAGCATTTGAAGACAAGGGGCAGTTTTATAAGCAATTGCAAAAATGGAATAAGCCTTCAGTCCATACATCCTATTTGTCTAGAGGTTCATCACAAGTCTGCAACTAAACACTTCTATGGAAACAACCAGAATAAGCACTGACGACCAGCCTTATAAGTGTGTGTAACGAACAGTTGCTGTAAAGACTAAAGAGAGTGTGAGGGCATTGATACCCTTGTTCTGAGGAAAAAAAACATATAAGGCAGCAGACCTAAAATCCAAACCAGAATCGGATGGAAAACAACCGCTGCCAATTGAGAGAGATTAACAAACACTTCAATTATTTTTTTCGGTACCACTGAATCTCTTAAGGTAGAGTACAAAACTAAATACTTTCACTTGAACCTGCTGCTGTCTTCAACGGTTGATTGGTGTGTGCATCCTCTCAACTATCCTATTTACAGCATCACGAGACATCAGTAAAGTGTCATGCAACAAGATGCTATACACATTCAGACCCTGTAACAGACGAGAAATCACAGGCTGGTTAGGAACCAATAAGAAATAACCAATCTGCACCAACACTGAAGACATATGCAGCCACATTGGGCAAAACAGAGCAACATTAGACAGAGAATATCATATGCCATATCAACAGCTCGTGTGTATCACATTTTGCCTGGAAGAAATCAGCAGATGTAGGAAGGCGAAAAGAAGATTTTGGAGCAAGATGCAAAATGAAATCAAACAGGAAGTTAAATGAAGAATCCAAGTGTGTTGCCAAAAAGATCACTTGTTTTGTTCAGAATTTGGTTCATGTTCTTTCTAATGTACAGTGCTGAAAGATGGAGATTTGCAATTAGTACATTTTACCTTAACTGGGAAAAAAAAAAAAAAACCACAGATAAGTAACACTTCAAAGAGTATAACGCCCCAGCAAACCTTGCTAGAAACTGTTGACCTCATTAGAATGATAATCGGAATAATGGATGAAACTAAACAGGCAATAGGGATTTCACAGAAATGAACTATTTTACCACCATCGTACTAGAAGCTTGTCGTAAAGAAAAATCATTTACAAGAAAAACTATTCCTTCAAAATCGATCATATTTCAGCTAATCTTCCAGATATAAACACAAGAACTATTTATGTCATACACAGAAACCAAAATGTTCTGGAACTTACTATAGTTGGCAGAACATTGACGTAGTGCAAATTTTGCGTAGCAAGCTTTAGCTTTTCATCAATTGTGTCTCCATCCACCAACAGAAGTTTCTTGGTGTCCTCCATTTGATTGTAATAGGTTACAATATTCTTTGTCTTATGTGAAGGGACCTCTAGGTCGTCAAACACCAGAAGCTGTTGGCAACAAACATAAAATGTAAATGATTTGAAGTACTCAAAATGACCGCATGAATACAGGGTAAACATGGTCATCAGTAATATCAGCTCCCTTTTAGTAAGAAGAGCAAGAAAGTTTTCATTTCATCAAAGGAAAGAACATGGTGAAAGAAAATTTCTCCATTCATTTTTTAGCATGGAAAGGAAGGGAGTTGCAACTGGCCTCAAATAGATTCATGCTATTATGCAAGTAAAATTAAGATTTGTAAGCAAATGCAAGAAGTTGCTATTTTACTTGATAAAAGACAGAGGCTCCAGATTTGTGAAATTAGAAAACCAAAAGTCAAGTAACAGAGCGGGAATATAGTAAAAGATGAACGAGATATTCCATGAGGAAGAGAAATGAGTGAGGTATTCCAAGGGGAAGAGATACAGAAGATGAAAGTTAGGCATGAAAAACTTGCCTTTCCTTCTGCTGCACGAGCTGACAATGCTATTTTTAGTCCTAATCGTCGGACCTTCTTGTTCAGCTTGATAGCATGACTTCGTGGTTTTGGACCATGCATAGTTGCACCACCTCTGAACTGTTATGAGCAATAAAACCAATTGTAAATATTCAACGTCGAAGGTATAGACCTGGCAAAAGATATTAATAGTTATTTACCTGAGGGCCTCGCAATGTCCCATGTCTGGCTCTACCAAGACCCTTCTGCCGCCAAGGTTTTCTGCCAGTTCCGCTAACCTCACTAATTGTTTTTGTTGAATGGGTTCCCTGTGGAAAGAAGGCAGTGTCATAAAGTAAGTACAATGCATTCCAAGAGCAAGGAACTCAATCTTCTTAATCATTAGAAGAGAAAAACAAAGTTTCAGTTTTATTCAAAAAGAAGAAAACACCAAAATAAGAAAAACCAATCAAATTGAAGACTGCAAAAAGGTTAAGGAACATGGTCCAAATATCCAACAAAAACTTATTTTTTCAACTCATTTGTTATGATCCTTAGGACGCTAAGAGGAAGCATACGAAAAAAAAAGGAGGACAGATTGAACTAATACGGAATAAGAGTATCTGAGCTATAATTCACATACTTCAACATCAAAAGAAACATTCTCTCACCTGCTGCCGTTTGGCAAGCTGCCACCTAACAACACGATGAATAATATCTTTTCTAATCGGTACGTCAAAGACATCACCGGCCAAAACCATTAAACCTTTGTCTTCATTAGCAAAGTTTGTTACAGGGATCACCAGGTCCTGTAAAAGTCCTACAACACCAAAGAAAAGTATTCGTGAATTCTGCCAGTTAAACAGTTTTTACTCTTAGTGGAAGAGGTTGAAAATGACATACTCATATGTCATAAGAACTGGAAGCTAAAGTGAAAATTGAAATATTATAAGAAGGGACCTTCTGCAAATGAACTAGCATTCCAGATTTTATTTCCACACCCAACTAAGAAGGATTTCATGGCATGGGCTTAAAGACTCCGAATGAATCATATTTAGTTGGCTTTATCTATTTACAGGAAATCCTGTCCATAATTAAGGACATTCAGTAAAAATCCTAAAAATTGAATGAATGTTATGCAGTCCTACAATGCAACTCAAGCTTCCATCCCTTGACAAAAGAGTACTTTCTCACTTCATGTATGAGTTATAGTTGGTGGTAGGTTTAATAGCCTGAGCAAAACCCGAGTAGACAGGCCTGGAGTTAAAGCCTTCACTGTTTAATGACAAAGCTGCAAGTATAGAGGGTGCTTCAAAGTCCTACAAATTTTTTAACATCAAGGTCCTTGCATAAACAAGCAACCAACAAATCATGAGAGCAATATTTTTAAGCATTTTGTACAAAACAATGTCACCCCTTTGGGAAAATATTCAAATAAGAATAGAAACGAGGCATCTCCGTAGTCATACCAGGCATCCGCTCCGGGTTAATAACACGTTTTCTGGATAACAAGTTCGCTGGAAAACCCTCATCGTTTGATCCAGGGGTAAGGATTGTAGTTGCAAACCTTCGACAAGCAATAAGGGATAACTCATCCTGCAGCAAAGAGCAATAGCCAAAATTAGTGGTAACCGATAACAAGCCACACATCTGATCCTTAACCCTCTTTCCTTCATTAAACACTCACGTTTGGGGCACAAAGGAACCACAAATCATAAATTATCATGACAAAACTGATACTTTATCCCAGGTGAATCACAAACATCTACCTTTAGAAGAGTGGAAGGTTCAAAAGAAGACACACTGTGAGCTACAACACGATGGCTTTTCAAGCCTGCAATGAAAAATTTACACGATGGACAAAAGGTGAACAATCACTAAAAAGAAAGCAACTTCAAGACAGAGTATCAAGGCTGAAGTCAATAATTTGCAACAGAGAAAATAAAGAGTGAACATACCATTATACAAACCCACGGAAGAAGACAATGCATTGTGCAAAGAACGAAAAGCCCTTTTTGAAATTGCGGCAGCCATGCTTTAAAGCGCAAAATTCGCAAATCTAAGACGGATTTCTTCTCTCTTCTCCTTTTTTTTTTTTTTTTTCTTCGGGCGAGGTTAATCTAAAAATGTACTCCGGCCCCTATCAATTCATTATCTGTCCAGCAAATTCAAAGTTTCAGATACTAATATAACGATAAACATCTTAAATTCAGAGAATAAAACAGAAGAAGAGAGACAAACTATCGAAGTCTAAAATTACTACATTTGGCAATTGGCATCATGGGCAGTCGGAAAGGAGGGACTGAGGCATGCTTACCGGCGACCGTGTGACCAAGAATCTCCGGTGATAGGCTTCCGATGACAAAATCCGGCGATTAATAACTGCAGAACTAAAAATGAAACCCTTCATAAACCCTCTGGGCGCATCGCTTAAATGACTATTTTATTTCTTTCCCTTTTTTCTCTGATTGAATACGGGTGGGGCTCCGGATCCTAAAAACAATACTGTATGTTTTTAGTATATTTTTTTTTTAGAAAAAAAAAACAGAAAATATTCTGATATGGTCAGACTTGCTTTCAATATTTCTGATATGTTAATACCGTATATAATTATTAGCAGTATAAAGATTACTTTTAATGCGAACACTTAAAACAAAATTTTTGTTTTAAAACCCGTAAAATAAACATTGTTTTTGGCAATTAGTCCATTCCTCAATTCCTAAACCCCCAAAACAAACGGACCCTTAGATAAAGAAAATATTTTTCTTCTTGAAGAATGAATAGTAGAATATTATTTCATATGAGATTCTTTCAATAAATTTAAGGAATCACAATTCCAGTTCATAATAGAAATGCGACTATTTGACGCCCTTAATGTTTGATAAATAGGAAAATTTAGTCAGTCTAGTTTTTCTAACCACCATGAAATGCTATGCTTGTGAACAAAAGTTCTTTAGGGATCTAGGATTACTCACTAAAATTGTGTAAATATGTTTGTGTAGTTAGCTTTTTTTTTGTAATAATTACGTGATTAGTTGTTTTTAAGTTATAAGTTTGTGACTTGAATTTCTTATCATGTACCTGAGAAAATGAATTGATTTGAATCTTCTATTCTCCATAGTCTCATGGCAAACATTGTGATTTGTGATCACTCGAATTAGTCTAATTAATGCCATGGCAAAGTCCCGTGAAACTCATCTAAATGTCGAGAACAATTTCCGACTCTCACCACCGGATGATTATCAATCAGTATAATTAATGAATCTTCCACACTATAATTAATAAAAGAGTAAATTTCAGCCTACATGAACATTTTATTACTCTCCAATATTACCTTTAAGTCACAGTTATTTGATGGTAAGCTTACTCTCTCTGTTTGAAAAACAGCGTGACAAAAAGCAAGAGAAACAGGAATTTAGAGTTTAAGAGTAATCGGATATCATGTGGGTGCGAAGAAGAAACCATAACTCACATGATAACATGATAAGTTATTGAGGAGCATAAGTGGTAAGTTAAGAATTGCAAAAATATACTGATTACTGAAGGATTGTTTTCAGGAGGTAAAAGTGATTATGAACTCAGTTGTAACTAAGAAAAAAAACAAAGAAAAAAAGGTAGCGTACATAAAAGTTAAGCAAACACAATTAGAAAGGAAAAGAAGATTTTAGTCTTGAAAGATCTAACTATATTCCCATTTTTCCCCTCTGGTAATAACTAAAATCTGTCACTTATTTAGCACAAACCTTAAAAAAGGCAAACTGAAAAAGAAAAATGTTCTAGCACACACCACCCCCATGAAGCGCGGATTAAGGATAAACCAGATAAAGAGGAAAAGAGACCAAATAAACTTCTGAAGTCATAAGTACCTTACAAAACCCAATTTAAATCCATCAAATTTACAAGAGGAAGCAGATCAACTTTTCAATCCTAAACTCCCACTATTTTACAAGATCAATGATCTTCCAGAAAAACTTGAAACAAACAAGAGTTTTTTTTTTTCCCCAGCAATCTATCATAAAACAAGCTACACCGAGTAAGGTGTACGCAAAGGACTCCCCCGCCATCCAAAATTGCCACAGATAATGGCATGCAAAAACGGCTCGACTGTCTTCCCCCACCACAGCTTACATCTTTCAGTCTCACTTGCCAGCTACCACAGCACAAGTACATGATACGCACAACGAAGATCTGCATGTCCAAAGCAAAAGAAATAAACACAAACGACTTTCCCGGGAACTCCAGAACATATAAAGGCAATAAGTAAATGCCCATGATTACCTCAGAAACTGAGCCCTCCTGGCCTTCGAATATCACCACCTTCATTAAGGTTTATCTTCCTACACCAGTCGACCTTTTCACATTTCCGCCGTAATATACATCGAACAAAAAATTCTTAAGTTATTGTTTACCCATGGCGAGGGTAGATTTCCAATGGGTATCCAACATTCATCATAATGTTACCTCCATTGAGGAGAGTAAATGGAGCATCAGGATAATGCCTTCCACATATTTTTAAGTGTGTTGCTTCACCAACAAGACAAATCTGCTGAGCATGAAGATGTCAGCCTCTCATATTCTTTTAAGAATATTGTAACTGGAGTAAATAAATTAGTCAACTCCTGGAAGTGGACATAGAAGGTCATCTAACTCTATAAAATCTCCATCTAAAATCGCTGTCAGGTCCTGCTGCAGAAGTAAAGCACAAAAAATGAAAATTAGAGCACTTTCAAGTCTTTGCAATCACTAAATTTATAAAATACGGCAAAAGAAGCAGAGCTTAAACATTAGAAACAGAGACGTTGAAACTCCCAAAGGTACTCAACAAAGTAAAAGATCCATCAGGGAACCCATATTCCTCTCATAGACAACACTAACCACCAAGAAAACAGTAGCAAAATCTAACATAATTTAGAACTTTTATGTTTGCACAAATGAATGAGTTTGCTTTTACCTTTCGTAAGAAGGCTACCTCTATGAACATTTTTATAGAAACATATATAATATGAAAACTTCATTATCTAATCTAGAATGAAAAGAAAATCTGAACATCACAGACAACCCTGATGCTCTCAATGTTTCTCCAGGTTCAGGTAGACAAAATCACATGTGTAAGTATCGCGAGGATACTATGGCATGGAAACACAATCATCATAATTAACCATAGAGCAGAGACACCCAAAAAAAGATCAAAAGAGGCTACTGAACTACAAAATGGACACAACTTCATACTAACAGAAAAAGATTGCAAGTTCTCATGAAGAAAGAAAGAAGACTAGAGGCACAATACCTGCCCATAAATAGGCCTGTATTTAAGATCAACTAACTCGTTACCACATCCCGCCTGAATGTTTGAAACCCTATTTTCATCATCAGGTGTATTTTTCTCATGGCTTTGGGCTTTGCTTACTACCGATTTAACATTTCCGTCGCACTGAACACCTACATGGCGCACTGATGCAACACTTCCATCACCGCAGGAACTTATCATGTGCTCTGATAAACTATTTTGTGTATGTGATTTGAGAAAAATTCGGCACAGGACAAAAGAACCCTGCATACCAAATGACTAATAAGACTATGTACCAAAAAAGTGCTACATTGTCAGCCGAAACAAAAATTGCTTCCCTATTCGGCACAGGACAAAAGAACCCTGTATACCAAATGACTAATGAGTCTATCTAATAAAAAACTGCTACATTGCAAGCCAAAACAAGAACTGAGATGACAAGTTCTTCCTTTTAGAATCAGGAGCAAAAAGGTCCTTCTATTGCATGATAAAAGATTCTCCACTTCATAAAAGGTCCAACAAAAGAAACAAAAGCGGAGACGAAGTTTTAATCCGAACTCATCTTATAGAGCAGTGAATCCAATTAACCAAAACTTTTTTTCCAAATCGAAAACAAAGAACAGAATTCTTGACCCTAAAATTTAAGTTCATTATAAACACAAAATTCCACAAATACAGCAAGAACTAAAAACCCATATGAACAATCAAAACAAATGATATGGTGTATTGGATACGGGAATCGCAAAAAAAAAAAAAGTGCAATTTTCAATTATCCAAAAAAAGACAAATTAGAAATTAATACCGCATGATGATGATGATCAATAAGAGCATATTCATACATAACCCAATGAGTCTTCACAGCATTCGAGGGAGAATCCCCCAAATAAAAAACAAAACTTTTGCGCGTCCCCACCACTACTTTGTCTGCGCCAGCGCCCATGACATCCCTAACCCTTTTCCTCTTCCAATACCCGCCGCCGGCCTTCCTCCTCCCTCCTCCTTCCTTCAAAATCCGACCCACAAAAAAATACCAGTGCCTCCTCAGCCCGCCACTCCCAAACCGGAACCCGGCCGCCTCCGGCAAGTTAAAGGGTTCGAAATTGTACAAGTCAATCTCCTTAATCACGTCTATGCCATAAGGGCCAGTGCTGTTGTTAATTGCAGCGCCGCCGTTGTTCTTGGAAGTGAGGTAGAAGCAGATGAGCTGTTGTTCGGAAGGGTAGAATCGCGAACCTGGTGGTAGAGGATTCAAAAACGACGTCGCCTGATTGGGGTTTTTCAGATCCCCCATTTATGGGAAAAGAAATTTCTAAGTGTGAAAGAAAGACAGAATTGGGGAGGAGGTAGGGTTTTATAGCGGAGGGGAAGCGTGAAGTTGAAGCTTGATTGGGAATTTACCCTTTTTTTAATTACTTTTTTCTTTTAATTAATATTTGTAATTTGTAATTTAACGTGTCATTCATGTCAGCAGTATACGTTGCTGAGAGTTGCTCCTCAACTGTTGGAGCATTTGGTCACTACAAAAAAAAAAAAAAAAACTTTTGAAAATATTACTAAAATGTTTTCATCATTTTTAAAAATGAAATAATGTGAAATACCATAAAATGAGGCCATAAAATCTGTATAAAATTATCATGAGAGACGGTTAATATAAAAATGAAATAAGAATACGCCAATATAGATGTAACTAATGTTTTTCTCATAATCATTTCGTCTAAAAATAATTTTTTAATTTAAATATGACAATCATTTTAGAACAAAAAAATATTTGTTATTTGTTTTAAATGAGATAGCAAGTAACATTTTAACATTAAAAAAAAAAAGATTGCTATGCAAGATATGTTCCCTCGATCACAGCATGTTTATTTCTCGTTGCAATTTGAATCATGAAGAAAATGTTTCTAACACATCCATTTCTCATTAGTAATTTTTCGTATATCTTTAAGATCACGGTCACTTTTGTAATTCTGAATTATCTGATATGGTAATATTAATCTCCGTCACTTTTCTCTCTTTTCTCGCAATTCTAAGTCAGTCAGAGTCTTTTAAAATAACACTGTAACTTGATTCCGGAATTCCCATTATAACACTCTAAAATGATATTTTTATTGTTTATTTATTTGAAATTTTACTGGTTATAGACCTAAAGATTTATTATGTTTTTCTTTCATTTATCTATACTAGATGTTTGCCCCGGCAAAAGCCCGGAGGCGCCTTTATGTGAACTGTGAAATCGGTAACTTAAATAATCATACAAAAAATACATTTTATTATTGTATGTATCATTTCTATTACAAAAATATGAAAAATAAAAGAAGAAAAAGTTTATTTTGGTAAGATTAAGTAGTACATAAGATCTTCAGGATCGTGTATTGATATGTCTAAAGAGTAACGATTATATCTACCACATAATAGTTATATCACATATCTATTCGCAACACCAGGATATGAATGATGCTTTGCAATCACAGTATGATTTATCATCCCAAAAACTCTTCTTCACCTAACTTTCTACCAGTCATCTCAGTAGTTCTGCCTTTTGCTTTCAAACAACAGAAAGAAAAATAATCAAATCCTAGTTCTACTCATCAATGGCCATTTGTTTATGTATGATCAATTCAACAGAGCTGGAATTCCCCTTCATGGATGATCTTTGTACAGAAAAAGCGTTAATCATCTTATCCTTTAATTAAGCTGGAGTTTCTCATCATTTTACTGTACATGCTCTAATCAAATTACCTGTAGTCGCCAATCCTTATTGATTCAGCCCGTAGGTTTGCCGAGAATGCCTTAAACTTCGTGACCCTCTCTTTCCATATATTATTTGAGAGTAAAAGAATCGACTTAGTTGCTTATTACCTATATTTCTCCTGCAGAAAATATAACAACCCGCATTGATAAATAGTCTTGTCTTGAACTATAATGTTCGCATGAAATTTGTCTATAAAAGTTGTAATAGTGATATCACTACTGAACATGCAAACATAAGGTAAAATTACCCTCCTCTTGGGGAAAGCACAGTCCAATTTGATAGTGCAAATATCTTAGAAGAATAAGAAAATAATTTTAATTTCTTCCAAAAGAAAAGGCATGATAATGACTTACATGAGTCCAATAAGAGTGGAGCATTTGTTCTATTCGATGAAAACAACCTCATACATTTCTTTACGATCTTCTTTTGTTTTCTCTGAACAACAAAAAGAAAAATTAAAACAAAGTAAGAAAATAATAAAAATTACAGTAAGTTATACCTGTTTGAATGCGGTAGGGAAAGTGATTTTCACAAAAAAATGACAACTGAGGCGTCTAAATGGTTTCCTTCTTGATTCTCCACCAGTTCCTACACACGTAAGCACACACAAATAGTTTTTCTCAATGGCCATTTTCATCTATAATTCTTCAATTTCAATAAACAACTCCCTCAACAACTTTGATGGACCGATAGACAAACAAATCCGCTTCAAACCTTTATCTTTTTCAATCTCATAGAAATGGACAATTTCAAACATATAAATGCCAAAGCTTTCCTGTCAATAAACTTGACATGCTTAAAAAATCATAATAATAAAAAGAAGAAGAAGCACAGAAAATATAACACAACATGCTCCTCGAGGGCTTGTTTACCTGAATGAAGAGGTTACAGAATTTCCAAACAGTCATAAATCAATGCTCGCTTAGGCCAACGATTTCTTAGTCATAAAACTAGATGCATCAAGGGTATTTCTTATGCATTCCAACGGGTTTTTAAATTTTGAGGGTTAGGGAAGGTTGTGGCCGGAGTTCTTCAGACTTTTGGACACACATTACCACTAAATGCAACAAGAATCGTTATTCTAATAAGATTAGTCATTAAATCAATTTTTTTAATTATTTTGTTGTGTATTTATATTGTTTTGAAGATGGAAGATTGGTAGGGCTTAGGATTGATGATTATGAATGTAATATGGTAATGTAGATGTTGTTGTTGAGTTTATAGATTAGGATTGTTGTTATTTTAAGAATTGATAGAGGTTAATTTAATGAATTTGGATGGACTTTGTTTGTATGGATAATTGATAGGCTTTAGGGATAATTTGTATGGATAATTTAATGAGAATTGTTGTTGTTATTGTTGTTTTTTTTTTTTTCTAGGTGAGATTTGTTGTTTTTTTTTAGGTGAGAATTATTGTTTTTTTTTTATTAGGTGAGAATTGTTGTTGTTTTTTTTAGGTGAGATTACGATAAATAGTTAACGATTTTTTTGTCCCTTAATAAACAGTTAAAATATCCATGCACGGGCTATACATACTTAATTTGTTTCATAGCAGCAAGTATGTGATAGAGAATGGTGTAGTGAACACATTTGAGAATAAACCGGACGACACTCTTGTTATTGATAGTAGGTTGTCATATGATCAATTGCTTGGTTTGATTTGTGTGACGTTCGATTGGAATGTTGAAATAGCTAGGAAACTCCACATTTCGTTAATATTTGTGACTCATGGTGGAAGGCGCACCATGAAGATAAAGAATGATTCACATGTTGGGATCATCTATCACCTCGAGCCAATGACAAGTGTAAATTTGTACATAGAGACGGATGATATCACTAACCAAGAACATTGGAAAAATCATTATGGTGGATCTTTCTTTGCACAAGATGATCAGATGGATGAGGGTGAACAAGATGGTCCAAGGCAAGAACAGGCAAGTACTTCACGGGTTCATGAAGAATAGGGTGGAAGTTTATTTGCACAAGATGATCACATGGATGATGATGATTCTGACTACGTAGCTCCAAGCGAAAGCTCGGAAGCACGAGATCCTAGTGATGATGAGAAAAGTGATGATGAAGAAGTGGTGAATGAAGAAAGGGAACTAAATCTATTTCTCCGGCGCCATGTGTATAAGGAAATGGGTGAATGGAATGCCTCGCATATTTAAAAGGATGATCTTGATATAAAAATGTGGGACGAGACTCCCGAAGGAATGGGCATTAAAGTTTGTTTCAAGTCTCAAGGAGAAGTGAAACATGCCGTGAAGTTGTGGAACATCCACAATAAAAGGGAGTTAAAGGTTATCGCGAGTAACAGTAAGACGTGGGCGGTTCGATGTAGGACATTAGATTGCTCCCCCCCTCCCCCCAAAGATTGCGAACCAATATGCAAAGGAGGATCTGCATGTCACTAGGAAAGCATGGCTTACATCAAATAGTGAAATGACATTCTGCACATTTGCATGAGGGTGGTTAACAATAATGACAACCGTTGTATGGACTCGGCATTTATTGGTAGACAAATCATGAGAAAGGTTGCAAACAACGTGGATTACACGGTAAAATCGACGCAAAAAGATGTGAAAGAGTTGGTAAAAGTTGATGTCCCCTACAAAAGGGCGTGGAACAAGAGGAGGAAAGCCATAGAGGCGGTTTATGGCGATTAGTCCTCCAATTTTGAAGATCTTCTTGGGTAAATTTTAATTTTGATAAATGTCAATTAATTTGTTATAGTTTTTACTTGTATTGGCATATATTAACTCAGGCAAACTTTATGTGTAGGTATATTGAAGCACTTAAGAGTACTAATCCCAAAACTATAGTGGAATGGGAATGGAAGGAGGGAGAAGAAGGTTGGAATATGGAAGTAGAACTTTTAAATACGTGTTTTGGTCATTTGCACCAGTAGCTGCTTCTTTCCTTGAATGTCCGTCGGTGATTTCTATTGATGGAACACACCTACGTGGGGGATACAAGGGTAAGTTGTAGTTGCTGTTGTGTATACCGCAAACAAACAAATTTTACCGGTTGCATTTGCCGTGGTTGATGAAGAGACTACTGAAAGTTGAGCATTTTTCATGAGACACTTGAGGTATCATGTTGTGAGTGACACCAAAGTTAGTGTGATTTCCGATTGGAACGCTGGGCTTTTGAGGGCAATGTCAAAAATACCAGAATGGAGCCATTTAGGTAATGGGGCCCATATGTATTACCTCCGGCACGTTCGAAGCAATCTAGTGTCAAAGCATAGGAGTGCGAGAGTGAAGCGGTTATGCCAAAATACGGGAGGACGCTTAATTTGGAAAAATTCAAGCATTGAGGCTAGAGCTCTCCGAATTCAAACCTGAAGCATGGGAGTATCTCTGTGGCATAGGGGTTATAATGGACTCGTTTGAAAGCCGGACATCGTCGTTGGGGGCGTCACAACTACCAACATTTCCGAGAGTTACAACAATACCCTAAAAGGGATCCGATTTTTACCCATTAGAGCTATGATCGATGCTATATTTCACAAAACCGTGAAGTTTTATCGATCCGAATTGTTATTGGTGACGAGTTGTGATACATCCATCCCCCCCTCCCCTCCCCCCCGAGCTATGGAAAGTCTACGAAGATAAGAACAACAAAACCGCCATCTAT